TTTTTTATTGAGTATTAAATCATAAGTATTAATAATAAAAATGCAAAAAGTTACATTTTTTAAGAAAAAAAATTATTTTGAATTTTAAAAGAAATCCGTGAAGCGATTGTGCTTGAGTTGATGACGTGTAATATTATTTACAACTTCGATGATGCTGGATTTATTCAATAAATTCATTTGAGCGATAAATTGCTGTGATGCTAAAAGGACGATCAATGAGGTGTAAAAAGAGAAGGAAAATCAGCAGTCAATTAGTTGATAATTACATCCGGTTGATATACCCTTGGGTGAGCAGTTTCGCAAGAATAATTATAAGCTCTCGCGCATTGATTAAATTGAAAAACTTTGTTCGGACGCCTGAAAAGTTTTAATTAGTTTATAGGTACCAGCTACTTGTGTACAGGATGTACGCAGGAATGTATACGTACAAGCGTAAACATCATGAAAATCAAACGAATTAAACGTACGACCGAACTTACAAAGGATCCCGTCGTCGATAAGCAAATAAATAAACGAAGCAAAAAAAAAGGCGGTTGGAAGGGTAAAATGTATAGTTTTTATGTGTAAAACCCTGGAATTTTTTTTTTTTTTTTTTTTTTTTCATAACGTGACGATTAAAAGCACCGAAAAGAGCAGCCGGCCAGCTAGCGCTGATTGCGCGGAATTGTAATTCGAAAAAGTGTCCGCGCTCATTAGCGGGATCGTTTTTTGCGTGGCTGACCTTTTTCCTGCTCCTCTTTATCTGTCCTGTGGATTTGGAGGGTTTTTTTTTTTTTTTATTAATTTTTGGCGTTGGAAAAATTTTCTAATTATGAATCTGCCGAGTCGGCGAGGGCTGTTTTTCCGATATGATATTTTTTAGGGCTTTAGCTCCTAGTGTTTTCAGTCGAGCTGATAGGGGTCGTGTGCGTTTAATGATGTTTGTTGAGGAACATGATTTACATTATGGCCTTTTAGAAGAATGAATCAACTTACGGGGAGACTTGAACATGGTAATTTTATAGATTTATCAACAAATTTGTTTTTGAAGCTGCACTTCATGAATTATTTTTACTAGACAATTTTTTTTCTTACAATTGATAACACAATACTTGATACAAATTTTCCATCAACAAGCGGTTGGATTTATTTTAAGAAAAGAAACATTATTTTATTAGTTAACATTCTCTACACATGAACATTTTTACAGTACAAAAATATGTATGACATATTTTTATGATGTATTTTGCTTTCTGGGTGGTGTGGAAAAATAGATGAAAAAAAAATTTATTTTAAGAAAAGAAACATCTTTTTATTAGTTAACATTCTCTACACATGAACATTTTTACAGTACAAAAATATGTATGACATATTTTTATGATGTATTATATGATATTTTTCNTTTAATTGCGTTAAAAAAAAAAAAAAAAAAATCCTTTTATATTTCCCCAACTCAGCATCTCGCCGAACAACCTTTGAGAGAAAGAAAAATTTTTTTTTAATTATTACTGTTTTTCGTCAACTTTGCTATTAGTTTGTCATAATATGAATATTCAAAATGTTGGTTATCATCGTCATTAGGTTTACAATCATATTTCACTAAAGATATAATCAAGGAAAAAGAATAAACTATAAACAAATAATAAGCACGTATTGTCAGTAGAAGTCAGGGCAAACACAACGAAAAAAAAAAAAGTAAAAAAAGCACACAAGAGACGCACGCAAGCTCCCAATAGAAAGGAAAAAAAAAGGAAGCGTGTACGCAGTTTTGATTTCAAAGCTTATCACCGCGCTAATTAGTTTATTGTTCGCCCTATCCCGCGGTATAGTGCCTTTTCTTGTCGATTGGCCTCCGCAGTGCTCCCATCGATGAAGCGGAAGGTAAGAAAAAAAAAAGGAAACTCCGCCCCGCTGCCGGCTAATTAGATCAATACCTTAATTAACTCCGTGCACTCGAGCCTCCTTCTCGGCTCTTTCGCGGTATATAGCTGTATATATGCTCCGGGACTAGTTTCTTCCGAGGATGTACGTCAAGTTAATAAAAGTACCGATCACTCCAGAGATTCCCTCCTTGATTGCTCGAGATTTCTTTTTTCTAGAAGAGGTATATTGTACTCCATAATTTTGATCGCCCAAGGTTAAATTACTCGTGAATGCTCAAATGGATTTCCTTTGTTACCAACAAAATGAACCAATTCGAAAATTAATGCGTTTAATGTCGCACATCACACCCAATGTCACTTTAATCTTCTTCTTTATCCGCAAACTTTTGAGGCGAGTCGATAAAAGTGCCCTGCTGATCGTCGACGATTTCGTAAAATTTTCCATAGTAGCAAATAATAATTCATGTCCCCTGTGATCGACGAAATTTCGAGTAGGACGTAAGATTTATCGTTCAAAGGGTATAGGAGGAAAATGTCATACAAAGGGCATAAATTTCCGAATGCCCGGGAGGCCGCGCGATAAAAATTTCCCTAATAAATCAGCGTCACTAATCGCGCGAGCTCTCCTCCCGCAGTTTTAATGCGAAATTTTTTCCATCTGACTCTCAAGACGTCGATACGCGCACATGTATATGTATACACCTCCGGTTAATTGTTTGGCCAATGCCATAGCCCGGGAGATTTATATGAATCGTATTGCCGGATTTTTGTTGTTTCCCGCAAACTTTT